CTCAGCACATTTCAGGCCCTTAATAAATGCCTGTTCCTTTCTCTTCTCTCCTCCTTGAAACTTTCATGGATCTTTCAAATTAAAAATTAAAAGTAATCTCAGCCTTCACTAGAATCCTCTTACAGTCATTTCCACAGTTCTAATTATTTTATATGTGTTAGCTCAGCCTCCCCACCTAGGTGGAAAGTCCATAAAATGCAGGGGGCAAAAACTGAGACTTCCTTGTTCCCCCTGCTTCCCCAGAGGGCTTAGCACCTTACTGGGCACACAATATCATCTATGGTATAGTGCTAGTACAGTATAAAACTCACATAGAAATAGGGGCCCCCCAATCTGTACATCAGAATTCCTGCAGGCTACATATTAAATTAGTTTTAAAGTGTGATAATATCTAAGTTTTATTGTAGATTGCCCAATACTATGTAAACACCAGTTATCAGGTACTCAGTAAATATTTATTGATCTGGTTGGTAGATTAGGATAGTGGAAAGGAGAACAGGCCTGGGAATGATGAGCTCTGGGTTCAGGTCTCAGCTGTGTCACTAACATGATCAATCACTGGTGTTTTTCTGTGTCTCAGGTTTTCTTGGGTGAAGGTAGACAGAGATACTCCCTACCTCCACAAAGACTTATGTGAGAATCACAATAGATAATGTAGGCAAAAATGCTTCATAAACCATAAAGGTCCATAGAATGATGGTCATACTCACAACTTCTGAAGAGGGGGTGGTGACCCGTAAATGAAAAATGTATTAAGATTTTGCAAACTTCAAAGATTATGTAAATTCAAGATGAAATATATGCATATGTATTTATATATATAAATATAGATGATGATGATGATGATGATGGTGATGATGATTTCTTCCCTTTTAAAGGGTAAAATTCACAGAACATTTTTCTTCTCCCACAAGACTGTTTGCTGGAAGTATGTCATGAAAGGAAGAATGGAAAGAACTATTTATTAAGTACCTTCTATATGCCAGGGCTGTGCTAAGCATTTTACAAATACTATCTCATTTGATCCTCCAACCACCCTGGGAGGTAGGTGGCTATTGTTATCCCTATTTTACAGTTGAAGAAACTGAGGTTAAGTGACTTGCCTAAGGTCACACAAGTAGAGTGACTGAGGCTAGATTTGAACTCATCTTTTCTTGATTTTTAGGTTCAGCACTTCATCTACTATGCCACCTAGCTGCCTCATGGAACATTATTTAATTTTCTTCCCTATGATCTATAAATTTCAAGACTTTTGCCTCCCCAAATCATAGAGGTCTAGAATAGAATGAGACCCTAATAAAAATAGAAATAGCTCCTATTTCTGGCTGTATTGAGGGTGGGGAAAGTCATTAACCCCCAGGATGTAAGCATAGATAAAGATGAGTTAAACTAAGTATAAAGATGTATATATGTTCTTTATATTTTTGTTGTTGTTTAGTTGTTTTTCAGTTGTGTCTGACTCTTTGTGACCACTTTGGGGGTTTTCTTTGGCAAAGATACTAGAGTAGTTTGCCGTTTCCTTTTCCAGATCATTTTACAGGTGAAAAAATGGGGATGAAACAAATAGGGTTAAGTTACTTGTCCAGGGTCACACACTATTAAGTGTCTGAGGCCAAATCTCAGGTCTTCCTGACTCCAGGCCCAGGGCTTTATCCAGTGCACCACCTAGCTGCCCTTTATGCCTATAGAAAGTATGAAACTTTTCTTCAATTGAATTGGAAGGAGTAACTGCCATTGGCTGTTTGAGAATTGGCCATGCTTCTAGAAAGCCTTTAAAAAGTCAGCCTATGAACATCTCCATGAGTCTGGGCCAGACCCAGCAGCAGAGCAGGAACTCAGCCTCTAAGGAGGCATCTTCCTTCATCTAAGAGGAATAGGGAGAGATTTCTCTTTTCTCCCTCTCTGCCTTTGACCATGGCATTTTGCAGTGAAGCTACTTACCAATAGGAGACACTGTTTAAAAGGACATAGTGAAAGGTGTGAAATTGGAAGAAGGGAACAGAGACTACACTCTCCATGGACACAGAGGCAGCATTCAAAGTAGGAAGCAGTGTCAAACTCTAGAAGAAGGGCAGAAAGCTGACCATGGCTTCAAGACAGAGCTAACCCTGGGAGGAAACAGTCAATCTGTGGGAAAGAACAGACACAGGGAGCCCCTCAGGGTGGCTCAACCAGCTGGGAAGCTGCATAAGGAAGGAGCAGAATGAGAAATCTAGGTGCAAAGAAAGTAATTAGGGCTCTGAAGTACCTGAGATTTTAGTTGCCTTGGCCACAAGTGTTCCCTATGTGGGTACCTCCTTATGATTGTGTTCTCCTCATGAGTGCTGTTTCATGTATCCATGGAAGAAATGCTCCAGGATTTTTTGGGGGGAGGGGAGAGGGTGTTTTGTAGCCATTGTTCTTAGTATGCCATTTAGTAAACTAATTTACAATAAAATAATGTGTGATATAATCTTCTGGCTAGTTATTAAAGGTAAGTTCACCAGTGGGGGCTTTTGAGCTACTGTTTCTAGGAATGAAGACTCACAAACTATAGTAGTCAATCCCTGGACACCCAACCTACAAACTTCTGAGTTCAGAATTGAGGAAGTAGCACTATGGGTGCTGCATGTAGAACTATAAACTGACTTTCTTCACAGAAAACAGCCCCATGGAAAAAACAACTGCAAAAATCCCCATTTTATAGATGGGGAAATTGATGCCCAGGGAGATGTGACTTGCCATATCTAAAGTTACATAGGTAAGAAGAGGCTGAATTTGGACAGGAAGCCAGGAGTCTTCACTCTGAGTCTAGTATTCTTTCCACTTTTCCTATACTCTCCCTGTAGGAGGAGAAGAAATATTTCCTCCCTACCCTTTCTTCTGTGTGATATACTGTATATGGTGGACAAAGTACCCTGGATCTTGAGTTAGGGGGCCTGAGCTTTACTGAGCTCTGGGCTTTGCTACTAAGTATTTAAGTGGCCTTGTACAAATTTCATCCCTTCTTTGGATCTCAGTTTCCTCATTTGTGAAACAGAGGGTTAGACTAAATGATCTTTAACGTTCCCAACAACTCCAACTTGCATTAAGTTGTTCACTTTATAATAATCACCATGGTTTAATTATTTAGAATTACATCGCCCTTGTACTATAGAAGTACAATACTCTTTGTACTATAGGATTCCTCAATCACTCCCTTGGACAGCAGGAGAAAGGAGAGGGAAAAAGGAAGGGGGGAGAGTAGAGAGGACAGGAGGAGGGAAAGAAGGGGGAAAGAGGGATGAGAGAGAGAGAGAGAGAGAGAGAGAGAGAGAGAGAGAGAGGAGAGAGGAGAGAGAGAGGAAGAGAGAGAGGAAGAGAGAGAGAGAGAGAGGAGAGAGAGAGAGAGAGAGGAGGGAGGAGGGAGAGAGGGAGAGAGAGGGAGAGAGAGAGAGAGAGAGAGAGAGAGAGAGAGGGAGAGAGAGAGAGAGAGAGAGAGAGAGGGAGAGAGAGAGAGAGAGAGAGAGAGAGAGAGAGAGAGAGAGAGAGAGAGAGAGAGAGAGAGAGAGAGAGAGAGAGAGAGAGAGAGAGAGAGAGAGAGAGATCCTTTGCCTCCTGGAGTAAGTGGCTTTCCCATTCTTTTATCCGCGAATACATCCCACTCCCCCCAGTGGGAGAGACAGATAATTAAATCCTTGCTGGGAAGTGGATTGCTAATTTCAGCTGGAACACGAGCTGCTGAAACCTGAAACTCCTGTAGTAGGTATGAAATGCTAGGAGCCATCAAATTCCCTTTCAAGTAGTACATCATTTAAAAATCAATAACCAAATACTATGCTCTGCTCCATAGATTCCCCCGTTAAAACCCTCATTCTGTTTGGACAGGCATAAAAAGCTGACATTTCTTCCACCTTTCTGATGAGGCAGATTTCTGTAGTCCGGGTCCCTGTCCCGTCCCCATCTCCCCCCCCCCCAAACTCAGTACTGTGTAATGAGCATGTAGTGAGCACAGAGCTAGGTTCAGATTCTGACTGGAACACTCATTAACTTCTGCACACAGTAGTTCTTTAATGTTTACTGAATAAATGGATAATACAGGGAGGGAGGAAGTGCGAGTTTGACCACAGCTTACATTCTTTTTACTAGCTTTTAAAGGTTTGCAGAGCACTTCCCTCACATCCCCCTAAGGTAGTAATGGCAGTATAATTAGCCCCATTTTGTAGATGGGGAAAGTGAGGCTATTTAAAGTGATAAACATTTGTGGAGGGCCAGTTGTGTGCAGAGCTGGAATAATAATACCTTATAAGCATACAACATTTTTCTTAACCAGTATATAGGTTGCTGCAAGGATCAGAAGATTATTTTGAGTTGAAAGGGACCCTGGAGATAATTTCTAACATCCTCATTTTATAGGTACCGAAACTGACCAAGGAAAAGAGATTTACCTGAGGTCACACAGATACTATGTAGCAAAGCCGAGATCTGAGATCAAATTTAATGGATCGTACTAACTAGTGAGTTTTCTGCTGTACCACGGTGCCTTCTGCATCATCCCCATTGTAAGCTCATTTAGAGTAAGAATCCTTTCGTTCTTTGTACACGTATCCCCAGGACCTAGCACAGAGCCTGGACCATGGTAGGAACATGATAAATGTTTGTAGATTGATTGATGCACGTCAGTCTGCTCAAAGGAGCTGAGTAATTTGACCAGTCATTTACAAGTACTAACTGTAGCAGGATTTAGAATTCAGAAGTAGGATTCGAATCCGGCAGTCACCGGACTCCTAGGTCCTGTACTCTTGTCTCCTACGCCAGGCTTGAGAGAAGGGTGATTTATTTAATGTGATTTATTATGCGTCTTATTAGTCTTAGTTTAATGTAGTACCGATATAAATATATGTACATATATTTAAAAAGCCCATCCCGGTGGAGGGGCCAGCCTTTCCCACTGCAGCCGGCGTACCTCCCACCGCCACCCCACTGACCCCACCTCTCCCCCAGCCGCCACCCTTCAGAGCCGGGAGTCCGTCCACAGCTGAGCAGCCGCCGTGTTTGTGTCTTTAAAGCGGCTCACCCGGTGCCTTGCTTTACACTGCGATGTGGGCGTGGTAAAAAAAAAATCGCGTTGGAAACCCGGGGCAAAAGCAGTTTCCTGCCTTCTTAGAGCCCCGAACAGCTGGGTTGTTGTTTTTTTGGAAAGTGTCGCTGTGTGTGTGAGTGAGACAGAGGCAGGCACACAGACAGCGAGAGCTGGCCGTGGCCGTGGGTGTGAGCAGAGCGGGCTGGGACGCGGCGCGCTCAGCGCCCCCCACCCGCTGCAAGGAAGCTTGAAGCCGCGGCCCCAGCAGTGGGCTTGCCCGGGACGTGCAAAAAGGCGGCGGCGCCCGGGGCTGCTCAGACCTTCACCCCGACGGCTCCCGGGGGCCGCTCCAGGCCGCCGTCTGCGCGTGGATCTTGACTGGTGAATGCCCCTGGCCGGGGGCCACGGCAGATACAGCCCCCCTCAGGTGCCTGGGCGAGGATGAGCGGCGGCGGGGAGGTGGTGTGTGCTGGCTGGCTGAGGAAGTCGCCCCCGGAGAAGAAGTTGAGGCGCTATGTAAGTCCGGCAGGAACCGGAGGGAAGCGGTGGGAGCCAGCTCGGGGCCAGGAATTTGGGGTGGATGCTAGGGGAGGGGGCTGGGAGCCGCCCCGGGGGGTTGCCTTGCTTTTCTTTGGGGCAGTGCTCACGGTAGCTAGCCCCAGATGTTGCGGGGCAGGGCTGGAGCCCGGGGAATTGCCCTGGCCCCTGGGTGTGTGTGTGTGGGGGGGGACCGGAACGTGCTGATGTACGGTCTCCGGGACTCGGGCTGCCGGGAGAGACGGCGGGAGCCTGGAAGAACTGAAGGCCGAGGGGACCACCCCCTCCCTAGCCTTGATAGCCGGGCGCGAAAGCTACCGGGGGGAATTCGCGCTAATGGAGCGTGAAAGTGAAAGCCAAGGAATTAAAATGGGACTGAGCTGGGCTGGGCGGGGGTCGCGGCTTCCCTAGGCCGGTGCTTAGCCGGCTCTCTCCGGGCAGCCTGCGAGCACACCTGCCGCAGGTGCACTGGAGAAAGCAAACAGGCGAGGGGGAGGGGTGTGCCTGAGAAGGGGGGAGGCTGGAGCTGCTACAGGGACGTGACTGATCTGTCCCCTCTGGTCCGGAGGGGCCATTCTTGTTGGTTCGCGCATATGTGTGTGTGTGTGTGTGTGTGTGTGTGTGTGTGTGTGTGTGTGTGTGTGTGTGTTGTTAGTGTAGGGGCAAGGAGGAGGAAGAGGGGGTCGCCCTTTTAGGCGCCTCGGTGGCAAACACATACAGTATTGAAGTTGCTATTGACTGGATTTGGTGAGAGAGTTGATTCCCGCGGGCTGAGTGAGCATAAATAGCCCTAAGTGGAGTGGATGGAGCTTGCAGAGAAGAAAGGAGGTGGGGAAAGCAGAGTAGATGGTGGCAGTTACTGGGTGGGGGCGACACGAAGCGGGGTTTGGGGAGAAGGGCCAAGCCCAGATTCGAGATCGGGCAGCACCAGGAATAGGTCACCTTTGACTGCGCATCCTTGGCCCCTTTTCTCGGCGCTGTTCCTCTGGGGTCTAAGTGGGTTATTCTGTGTCCCTCGCCATCCGCGAGGGGAGCGTCACCATCGCATGTGCACAACTTGTATCAAGTGACTCATTTGTTTTCTCCTTTTTGCCTTAGTCTGTTTCCCAGACACACGCTGTCCCTCCCCCTTCCTGATGGTGACACTGCAGTTTGTCCGCTCCAACCGGCCGGGGCTTTATGGTTGCAAGCCCCGGGTGGCTCAGGGAGAGAGATCAAGGTTCTCGGTTGCCAGGTGGTCTTAGCTGACAGAGGTTATTGAAATTACTGAGGCTGTCTGTTGGAGGGAGGGGAGAGAATGAGACGGAGCAAGCCTGTCTGCTTAGCAAGAGACAGCCTCGAGCGGAGCCGAGAGCCCCAAACCCTATCCCAAGGATGCTAACGTTAGAGTGGTTGGGGCTGCCAAACGTCTGCCAGTCGGCATCAAAATTTGGGGTGCCTGAAGCAAAGGTCTAGCTAGAAGACTGATGCATGCATCAGGGGGATGCATTGTCTACTGTCCCCATCTTCCCCCAACAGCAGCATTCTGAAACCCGCTTGGAAGTCCATCCGTAACCCGTTCCTATTCCCTCCTGCTTTCATCTCGGTCTTTCCCCTCTTGAAAGGAGTTGCGCCAGTAATCGGGTCTCCTTGAAGACACTCGCACAGGCGAGATAAAGAGAGAGAGAGAGAGAGAGAGAGATTGCCTTCCAGCTGCATTGCATCTAGGGAACTGTGTACAGACCCGGCCCACTGTCAGCTGTGAGCAGTGGCTGGCTGTCCTGGTGGGGGCTGGTGGGGAGAGGGGGAGGGGGAGGCAGAGGCAGAGGCAGAGGCAGAGGCTTACCAGAGTTTCCTGTCTTGGGTTTCCAGATCAGAACCAAGTGAGTTCTGGCCTTTGGACTGAGGAAGTGACTTTCTGTTTATCAAAGGAAGTTTTTATCCTCTGTGTTCAAATGCAGTCAGGCTGCTACTTAGGTCTTGGCTTGGGTAAGCTTGGGAATTCAGAATTGGGGTAGTAAAGGATCGATCACTCATCAGCTCTCCGTGCCCTTTAGTGAATTATGAGATTGGAAGAGATTTTAGAGAAAACCATGTAACCCAATCCGATCTAGTCCTTTTAAGGCATTTAGTATATTCTAATTAGTATTGGAGTTATCTCTGTGGTTATTGTCATCTCTCTACTCAACTGGAAGTGCTTAGAGGGCAGGAATCTAGTCTTCGTCTTTGTTTCTAAGACGAGGTCTTGAAGATGCTTATTTTTTTTGAGTGCATAAATAAAGATAAAATCCATGTAGTCAGAACGTACCATGATTTCTTCTTTAGAGGTAAAATTGTCCCCTCTTCCGAGTTCACTGAGAAATTCCTGTGGAGAATTTATTTTTCATTCTTTTCAGCAAAATAGAGACCCACCTCAATTTACCAGCAAAAGGAGCTGGGGGGAGGGGCAGAGAGAGGGGAGGGGTTTAAAATCTCGGAGAGATGTTGTTGTAGCCCTTTTGGGAAAACAATAGCAAAAAAATACTATATACTGTATACTGTAAAAGTTTTAATTTGTTTCAAAGCTTGTTTCAAAGTCTTGCAACTGAAGCTTCTTGTTGATTTGTCAGACTCCCTTTGGGACTCTTATCTTGGCAGCTGTGTGGCAGTCAGTCAACAAGCATTAAATGCCTACTGTGTGCCAGGCTCTAGGCTAAGCGCTGGGAACAGTAGGAAGAAAGGCAAAATAAACAACAGAACCCCAGTTTCTGTCATTAAGGAGCTCGAATTGTAATGGAGTAAAAACATGCAAATCCTATGAACACACAAAGTAAACCAGAGAAAATCTCTGGGGGAAAGGCACTTGGCCTGGCTTAAAGTGAGAGGAGGCTCTGGGGCACTGGGATGCCTTTTAGTTCAAAGGTAGTACTCTCTGAAGCCCTCAGATCTAACACCTTCACCTATTTAAGATACTTGCTAATGTCATTCTGTGCTAAGTGATTTGACTACTTTGGCCATATAGCTAATAAGTGAATTCAAACTCGGGACTCTTATACCATTGTCTCTCTCCTGCCCTCTGTTTACACAGTATTTCCCAACTCTCTTCCACCTCACTAGCCTGGGGAACTGCCTAGCTAGAGGGACCAGGTAGAAATATAAACACAAACTTTTTTCTCCCACAATGGAACAGAAACTATCCCGGGAGCAAAACATTTTGCCCTGCCTAGCCATTCTCTAGCTTGAGGCGTATTGCCGGGGTGGGGTTGCCCTCACTTCCACTTTCCCTGTTTCAGTAGAATTATGAAGACTTCTTCAACTCCTCCCCTTGCCCACATTCCCTCTTCGGTCTGCTGGAGTGGAAGTCATACCAGACATGGTTATCTTTGTGACTCCTGGGGAGTCACCTCAAACTGACTTTTATCCTCTGTAAAAACCGGGGGAAGGGGCAACTAGATAAAATTCTAAGCTTCCAGCTCTGTCGTCTTTTCTCTCCATAACTTTCCAATGGAACTTACCCCCAACTGAAGGTGTGGATGTGGTTTGGGGAGGTAGCCTGTTTTGCATAGTTATGAGGGGGGGTTTCCCCTTTCTTGTGCTACTGCTATTGTTATTGGGGAAGGGAGTGTTTCCCATGGTCTCTGCAGCCAAAGTATCTCAATGGAGTTAGAGAAACACAAATAACCACTATAACTTTAGGGTGATAGGAGGTGGCGATGGTTGATAATGCTAATGACATTTCTATTGCACTTTACAAATATCTTGTTTTATCCTCACTATATACCTGAGGCGCTGGAAGGTCCGAGCTATTAACATTCCCCTAAGGAAATTGAGGCAGAGTGAGAGGTTAAGTGACCTACCAGCCCAGGGTCACCAAGCTAGTAAATGTGCCAGGCACTGACTATGTGAAGTGCTGGGTATATAAAAAAGGATAAAAGCATGGGCCCTGGCCTCTAGGAGCTCACATTCTAATGGGGAAGACAACATGCAAATAACTACAGACGTGAGACATAAACAAAGTAAATGAAAGATCATGTTAGGGGGCAGGCACTGGCCTGGGGAGAGAAGGAGAGATGAGGAAAGGATTGTTGCAGAAGGGAGAGAGATTGGGTTGGTTGAGTTTACTCTTGAAGAAAGCCAGGGAAGGGAGAGGGTTTGTCATTAAAGGAATTAAGCCAGCAAGGGAAGAGAATAAGCATTTATATTGGACCTACCATGTGTCAGGCAGGCACTGTGCTTAGTGCTTTTTACAAATATTATCTCATTTGATCTTTATAGCAACCCTGGGAGGTAGGCGATATTATTATATCTCCATTTTATAGGTGAGGAAAATGAGGCCACAGGGGGCTTGGGGTGATTTGTTCAGGGTAACACAGCTAGTGTGTCAGATTTGAACTCAAGTCTTCCTGACTAGGTCCAGTGCTGGTCACCACCAGCTGTCTCAAGGAGCTGGATGACTACCCAAAACGTTCCCTTCTCTCCTCCCCAGTTTCCCAAACAGCAGCAACATCACAAAGTCCTTTAACTAGGCAGTTGGGTATGACTGACCTGAGGCCACACCTACCTCTTAAGCTGGAGTGAAGTTCCATTGGAAGGTTAGCAGGGAAGAGACTTCAGAGGTGGCAGTCTTAGAATTTGGGTCTCTTAGAGTAGTTTACTAATTCAGGTAATGATTAGATTAGAAAACTTTACTAGCATTGACTACGGAGTGCACTCTGCTCATGTTGAGAGCACAAATATGAAAAGATAGTCCCTATCCTTGAATTTACATCCTCACAGAGGAAAACCTGCTCTGAGGAGGAGTGGGATGGCCAGGAAGTGGAATTGGGGACGCCTAGGTGGGGTGAGTGGAGCCTTTGGGCCCTGGGTTGACACATTCTTTTTAGAAGTAATAGTCTTAATAATTTTATGTCCCTAATTAATGGAATAATGAAGGCTTAGTCCCTGCTCTCAAGGAGCTTAGTCTAAAGGAGATCAGTTATCAGGACTAATGAGAGATTCAGACAACAATGCTATAGGAGAAT